GGTGGTAAGCCTTGCTGAATTCTGAGGTGGCATGTGCAGGATTGCATTCTTAAGTTTTGTTCTTTAAAGAACAAAAATGTAAGTATATAAGCAGAGCCATGCTGGGTCAGAACACAAGCTGGGTCTGTTTAGTCCAGCATTCTGTTCACACGGTAGCCATGTAGTTGGTCATGGGTAACCCACAATCAGGGTATGAGTACAGGCTATCAATGGCTACTAGTCTTGATGACTACATGATCCCTCTAGCATCAAAGACAGTATGTCTATGTTCAGTGGTTGCTGGGGAATTTGGGCAGGAGGGTTCTGTCACACTCATGTCGTGCTTATGGCTTTTTCATGAATAGCTGGTTGGCCACTATGTAAATATAATGCTGGACTTGCTAGACTTAGGTCTGATCCAACATGGCTCTTCTTACGTTCTTAAAAGCACCTTCGTGCCCACATTGCCTAACATACTGCCTTAGATAAAGCCTGCTTAGTAGCATCAGGTTGAGTAGCCACTGCTAGCCTTATAATCCAAGAATTTACCCAATCCCATTTTAAAGCCACTCAGATTGGTGGCCATCATTGCATTGTATGGATATGCATTTCAATATGCACCTTTTATCATTCCACCTATCAGCTTCATGGAATGATGTATATTATGAGTGAAAAAAAACTTTCTCTGCATTGTGTTTACTATATCATGTTTTCCCTTACTCACCTTCTAAGTTAAACCCTTCCTTACAGGGAGTGATATAGCCTCTTGATCATTTTAGTTACCTTTTTCTTCATGGTTCCAGCCCAGAGATATAGATTTGTTGACCAGATTTTTATAGAATTTGTCTTTTTCAGAGCAGCCACTGACTAGGTAAAAATGTTCATCGAGCTGTCCATCACAACCCCAAGGTCTCTTCATCATTTTTGCCATCATGATGGGCCATTCTTTCAGTTTGGAAAGTTCTTTTTGGGATTTTGCACAATCACTTTCTATTTTAACTGCCCCAAATTCATTCATGTTATCAGAAAACTTAGCCTGGTCATTCCTAAATTTCAATTATATATGAACATATGGAAAAACATTGGTCCCAGTTCAGATCATGGGGGGCGCCCTGTTTAAATCTGTCCATTTGGAGAATTTACCATCTATTCCTGCTCTCTGCTTTCTGTTTTTTAAGCAGTTATTGATCTTGAAGAGAACCTCTCCTCTTGTTCTATGACTGCTAAATTTGCTCAGGGGATTTTGGTTAACAATGCTTACCAGATCACCCTTTTCTCTCAGTTTATTGATGCTTTCAAAGAACTCTAGAGGTCTGGGGAAACATGACTTACTTTCAGAAGCACTGTTGGTTCTTTTGCAGCAGAACTTGTCCTTCTGTATGCCTACTAATTTATTTGTAGTAATACTTTCAGCCAATATACGGACACTTAGCTAGTTACCCTGTCATTTTCTGGATCTGCTTTTTAAATATTGATGCTACATTGGCCACTTCCAGTCCTTGAGTACAGAAGCTGATCTTAAGGACACATTTCTTAAAAGAAAAGCTACTATCTGGCCTTGGTGATTTATTAGCTTTCAATTTGTTGATCAGTTGATCAGTTTTCTTATTTGCCTCAGTTCCTTAGAAACCTTTCTGAAAACATCAGTTCAAACCCAAGTTATCTGTCCTACATCTTCTGCAGTAAAGGCAAATGGTGAGAATTAATCAGTTTCGCCACAATTCCTCATCCTTCTTTGGTACTCATTTCTCTTTTGTCATGCAATGATCCAACTGTCTTCCTAGCTGGCTTCTAGCTCCTGAAATGTTCAAATGATTATTTATTGTTGGTCTTGATTTCATTAGCAATATGCTCCTTAAAATGCTTTAAAATATTTTATTATCTTCTTGCATCTTCTTTGTGCAAACTTGTGCTCCCATTTGTCTATTTCATTTGGCTATTACTCCCAGTTTCTGAAGGAAGCCTTGCTTTTATAAGCATTCTTGCCTTGGTACTACTTTTCCTAACCCCCTTTGAAGCCAAATGTGACTGTGCTGGAATTCCTTAGCAATTTTCCATTTATGTATTAAAGCTGATGGGGTCATAATCACAGTTTCTAGTTCATTCAGTGGTCACATCGTGCACTAGGTCCTGGGCTACACTACTAAGGATAAAATCGAGGGTCACTTCCACTCAGGTCAGTTCCATGACCAACTGTTTCAGGGCACAGTTTAGGATGTCAACATTTTTAATTTACTTGATGTGATTCGTACTTGCTCATATCTAGTCAAGCCACCCATTCCTAGAATATTTACTTGTTTGGGTGCTCCCTATTTTTTGTTTAATCTTAAGTTCCCCCAGAGTGTTCTGATCTGGGGAATGAGTCTAGGATGTCCCTAGTTCTAAATTACTTTTAGAGTTCAGTATTGTTACGCATAGTTCTTTAGAGCTGCTACCCATAGTGACCCATAGTGCTTCATTAGAGGAGTCTGCCATGTTTAGATTTTCCAGATTTAGATGCGGAGCAAGTTTTCTTTCAGGGCCTCCTTCCAATAGCAACTGTACTGAGGTGATCATATGCCACTGGCTTCCTCCGTTCTATCACTTCTCTGTTACGCCCACTAGATCTAGATTCTCCTTTAGAACAAGGAAGGAGCTGTGAGAATTTTCATGAAAAAAAATCCATTAAACTTGTTTGAAAATGGAAGTTTTACCTCTGTTTACAGATATCATGATAGTATAAGCATGATTGTGTCCCTCAAGGTACTTTAAATAAGTCTAATGCAATGGAGGTGATCTATCTTTTCTGGTGCTATTACGAAGTTGCAAAATTGTGCTTTGTTGTGTTAGACCATTTGAGACGACAACTAGTACATTTTAAGGAGGTTAATGGGACTTCATTCTTCAAGAAATTGCTACACATAGTATTCCATTTTTAAAAAAGAAGTCAGAATATTTATTGGTGTATGTGTATGTACAAAGTTGCCTGTCTTTCATTTTCAATACAGGCTTATGGGCGAAGTAGGTATGGTATAGACAATAGATCTTTACTAGAGGAAGCAAGTCCAGCCCAGTATGGGGTCAAAACAAAGAAGAGAGGAAAAGGTTCTAATTTGTTTTAGTTTTTCCTCCAGCTTTTGCTTTTACAGCAGGATTAAGTAATGCATACTATACTTTGATGGCACGCATATGGAGCATAGGTTTCCTGTGGCTATTAGCAAAGGAGGAGCTCCAGATTCAGCTAATATCAGGGGGAGAGTTGTTGCTGGCAGGTTTTTATCCTGGAGGCTGACGTAAATGGAACTTAAATCTGATCTAGCAGGGCCCTTTTCATGTTATTCAATTGATACACCCAAGATGACAAATCACAACAGGAAGAGCCAACAAATCTGGAACCAAAGCTATTTAATAGATCACACTTAGAATGGCTTCTTTTAACTTGTGTATGAAATACTTGGGCAACGGTATCCAGTACTGTTGCTGTGTTGTGATTTAGTCAGTGTCCCCGCTGGTGCATCAGGAAGCTGGCAGATGCTTAACCAATGCAAGAAAGAAGCAATTCTGTTAGTTTCCCTTTGCTTAAGGATCCTGTCGTTTCCCATGTTGATAATGATGATGCTTGCTAGTGCACCGACATGGCAAGATACTGCCTTTGAAGAAATATATCATGGTGGCCAAGCCAAGGTTTGGGAGCCACGTGAGGCTTGTTGAGCTTATTTTCCAGCTCACAGAGACCTCACAGCCCTCCTTCCCCCAGTCCGTATCCCAGTGATGGCTTGGGCTTCTCCCATGGCTGGGCTCTCCCAGGGCTGCTGACCCATCCTGCTCTGACACTCAGGACCGATGAGCGCAAAGACTGTTTGGCAGTTCTACCTCTGTCAATACTCCAAGCGGCAAATCCGGTGGTGCTCTTGCAGGCAGCGGCAGTGGTTATTTTGGTGGTGGCAGCATTTCTGCAGTGTCAGCCACCTCTGCTGTGACCTTGCCCCAAGTGAAGAAGCCAAAGATGGAGTAGATCCAGGCTGAGCACAAGCTCTGCTTTCAGAATGAGCATGGGATAACTTGGTGGGAAGAGTGGCCAGAAGTAGCAATCTCCCATGCACCACCTTTGGCTTCTTCACTAGCAGTAGGGCTGCAGCCCAGGTGACCACCACTCAAGGTGCCAAGGAAGTGCTGCCACCACCTCCGATACAACTATCAGATTTGCCGTCTGGAATAATGGCTGAAGTAGAACCGCCAAAGCAGCTTTGTGCTTGCCAGCCGCAGCAGGCAGGGCGTGCTGGAGCAAGGTCTTGCAGGGCCACTGGCCCAATCCAGAGGGAGGAGTGGGTTGCCTGGAGGCCCTGAATGAGGTAGTCCCAGCATGCCCCATGCTGCACCTGCTGAGTTTAAAAAGTTCACTACGAAGTAGGTATCTTGACCCCTTCCTGAATGTGGAGAGTGGGGACCAGTCGTAGCTCCTAAAATAACTTGTGCTTCTTATGTGACAGCTCCTGACTGCAGCACCTTCAAAGGTCCCTGATAGAATTCCCACTGGAAGACCATGCCCTAACACTGAATTCCCAGCACGTGTCACTAAACTGTGATTGCCCTGACAACAGTAAAAAAGCACCCTGCTGTTTTCAATTAATATCACATTTGCTTCAAGCAGTTCTTGTTTCTAAAGGTCCATTTTTTTGGGAAGGGCATGCTACAGTTAATGTTCCAGGTGTCTATGCCCCTTACCATGCACATTAAAAAAGACATACATTGATAAACAAGACTTTCATAAAGTCATAATGCATAATAAACAAATAAATATTTGTTCATGTCTTGCGGCACTCAAACGTTTACTTCATGTAGGTCTTCTGTTGAATAATTCTGGTTGTATATGATACTTTCATACTGTATATGATATATATGATATATGATACTGTATATGATACCTGGTGTATATGATACTTTAATTGGTTACTGCAGCAAAACAGAGGGCCATCTTTAACTTTTGCAAGTGGTCATTAGCTTACCCTCCCAACAGCACAAACATAAATTAAACAAGCCAATTTGTTGGAAAAGTAGCTTTATTTGTTTCATGATGCTTTCCCACAGAATTCACTAACATCTTTTAGGAAAAAAATAGATACTTTGTTTCCATGTAATACAATATAATGTACAGATCAGCCATGTTTTCACCAATCATATACAGATAACTCTATTCTAATTTTCTTCCCTGAAGAAAAAGTCTTATGATTTGCTGCACTAATTCAAGCTACTTAAATTTCCAGTTTTATATGGAGAATGAAAACAATAGATTTTTTGAAATGCTATGGAAAATATCTAACTAAGCCTGTGTATAATTGGCAGACATGAGATTGCAAAGAATTCAGCAATTCTTTAGTGCCAAAATAATTTTATGAATAAGTGAAAATATTTCACTGTTAATTGCAAGACAGATTTCCCTCTGATGTTCTAGTACCAAAACTTAAAAGTTTACTCTTTCTCCTGAAAAAAAGCAAAAAAACAAAACAAAAACAAAAAACCCCAAAAACAAACAAACGAACAAAAAAACACCCCCACACACATTTTGTTATGTCAATTTCAAACTATCATACTTTCCCACTTCGTTGTATGTTGCATCATCATCATCACATATTGGAACCTCCTGCTATATTTTTGGCATAGTGACAAAACATAGCATTACAATGCATATCACCATGAATTTACCCAAATACTAAATTATTTGTAAGAAAACTGTCACTTTTTATTCATTTTTTCATTTCCCTGCTCCCCTTCTACTGTTTAGGTTTTAAAAAAAATAAAAAATAATTGACAAAAACACAGAAATCATGCATTTTAGCAGAGTTCATAGTGCATTGTTTCTGAAGACACTGGCATTCCTGCTGAATTCAGTAGATTTGTTATGAAGCTGAACTTTATTTGATCCACAAATTCTAACTATACAAGAAAAGTTATTTTTATGTTGATTAAAACCAGCACTTAATGGGCTACATTTTCTATAAGAGGAATGGCTTGTGTGGTCAAGAGTCATGGTTCCTTCTGTCTTTAAGTGCACGTACAGGCATTTTATGTAATGTCTAATACATTACATAATGTATTAGACATTACAAATGTATTAGACATTACATAAAATCTACCCTGGAGACTGGGTAGATTTACCAGGCTGACAATATTTGAAGGAAAGAACTGTGGTTCTCCAAAAGTAGTAGATAATTGCAAGGAAGTTGAATCTTACATCATCATGCCCAGAGTAGATCTACTGAGATTCTTGGTAATTTGTTATGACTAACTTAGGTCCTATTGAGCTCAATGGGCATATCCTAAGCATAAGAAAGGCTGGATCCAAGCTACTGACTTTAGATTCACATCAAGACCAATCAACATATGTCAAATGGCAATGTCTCATTTGTGTAAACACCAACCTCTAATGCTACTGGAAATAACCAAGAAACAAGTGTTCTTATCTTCATGTAGTAAGAGAAAGCTGGAAACAAAAGTAGAAAATTATGAGATGTTTCCATAAGATGACTCCATACAAGGTCAAGCAAGACTGGTATGAACATTCTTTCTTTCAGCATGAATGAAAACAAACAATGGAAGTGTCTACCAAGAGTTGTGCACACACCCTCTGGTTGTATCTTGGAAAAGTGTATTAACAATCAACTGAGGTAATCTTGGTATCGCATATCAGAAGAATCAAAGCATTGAAGGTCTAGATTCAGAGTTATCTTCTGCTTTGAAAAGATTTGATTAAAACGTTCAACATTGTACTATGAAATGTAGTACAGTGGCTATTTAAATCTCACCGTAGAGGGAAAAAAATAAGGCACTGTTGTTATCTGCCCAGGCAGGTATGAATTCAGAAGTACAGTTCTTTTGTTAGCATGGAAACCACACAAGGAACCTGCTTCTTCTTGCTGAAGCGTGGGTCAGTGGACTGTGATTCATAGTTTCTAGCAACCTTGTAGTTAACCCTGGTCAAAATCTGCAGGATCTCCAACTCTTTGCCAGATTCCTTCAGAACTGAGCAAAGAGACTGCACAAACCAAGAGCCCTTCTCTGGATTCCTCCATGAATAATAACCTATAAACATGGACAATGAAGAAAGTGTTAGTTATCAGAATGAAAAGTACAAGACAGAAGTTTAAAACACATGCAGTTAAAATCAGGGATATGCAGGCGAGAATGAGAGTTGAGGCTAGAGGTTTTAATAGCAGATGTTCAGATTATTAATGAGGAAACTCACCTCTTCAGAAAATGTTCTACTGGTTTAAGAGCATGAGCATTTGCAGGGGAAGCTAATAAAGGCCTTGTGTGTATAATTCTGCTTTCTAAGCGTATAGGGTTTTCCTAGAAAGTGGCAAGTGAAATGATTCTGGAATGAAGCATTGTCATTACTGAGAAAAAGTATCATTACTGATACTTCAACTGGTTCAAAATAGCTGCCAGAATGCTGTCAGGGGCTGGTCTCCATTCTCATATAACACCGGTCCTCTATTAGCTTCACTGGCTTCCCACTGAAGTTCAGGCCCAATTTAAGGTGCTGGTATTGACCTCAAGGCCCTGAAGGAACATGAAGGAACATCTTTTTTCCAATATGCCCTCCCGCCCCTTAAGATCTGCAACAGAGGCTCTGCTCTAGGAACCCTCCTTGAAGGAGGTTTGGAGAATGAATTTTTAGAGGAGGACCTTCTCTGCGGTGGCACCCTGATTGTGGAATTCGCTCCCCAGAGTTTCACCTTGTGCCAACATTATATACTTTTCAGCACCAGGTCAAGACCTTTTTATTTACCTGGTATTTTAATGTTTAAATATTTTAATTATGTTTTTATCCTCAGTCATGGGATATTATGATGTATTTACTGGGTGATTTATTGTAAGCCGTCCAGAGATGTAGAAATACCCCTAATAAATAAATAAATAAACAGTTTATGCAGTTCCAGTTTTTTAGTTATAATAGACTTTGGAAAATGCGTGGGGGGCTTACATGAGAGAGATTTAGAAGTATGAGTGCTCTCTAGGGAAACAGTTTATTCTCAAAGTGGAAGAGCTCTAAACTTTATTAGCAGTAGGCTCAATGAAAGCAAAAGTAATTTAAAATGTAATAAGCTTATGGAATACATTAGCACAAGATGACACTGTGATGGCCACTTGTATAGATAACTTGAAAGCAATTTTGATAAATCCAGGGGAGAGAGCCCTGTTAACGATTTTTAGCCAAGAATATTAAGAACAGAACCCTCATTTTTCACAGCAACAGCAGATGGCTCTGTAAGGTCGTTTTTAAGCTTCCCAAGTGCATCTGGTTGGCCAGGGATGGAGACACTTTTGGCTTGATCTAGCAAGGCAACTGTGCAGTTATTTTTAAATACCCATTAACTCTATAAAAGCATTTGGTATCTGCATGAAGAGATCCTTTAGAATGCGTGGCCTAGCCTCACTTCTTGAATGTGATGTGATGGCTACATGGGATGATGCATGTGACAGCGACATACCCAGACCAATAGCTGACTGGCACCTGTCTGAATGGGTGCTAGGCATCTGGGGATTTTCTTATGTAGGGATCCCACCATGGGAACTGAAATTTTGATCACCCTCCCGTGCTGTGTACATGTGCCTGAATAAGACTATTAAAGAAAATCAAAGGTATGTTCAGGCTCTGTTTTAATAGCATACCACTTATTGATAATGCACTTTAGAATTTTAGGGACTTCATTCATTACCTGAACTAGAAAAGGAAAAAAAAATAAATAAAAGGACAGATATACATGCTTTGTGCAATGCTCCACATTTATAAGACTGTCTTAAAATTCAAAGTAAATGTTTCTGCCTAAAGTAGCATTCAATCATTATTATTTATCTTTAATTTCATTTCCACCCTAATATATTCACACTTCATCTTACTCTTGCTCCTCTTTATGTCAAGTTGCCACCTTTTGCTATCATACCTGGCACAGTGGAATATGCATACAAAAAATCTGCTTCCACTGGAATCTTGTAGTTTGGATTGGCATCCATTTCCAGAGTGTCACCTGAAGAACCCGAATCTGTCTGAATCCCATCATCCAATTCCGAACCTTGACATGCCTGAAATCATAATATTAAATAGTGGAGAAAATAATTCACATATACACAAATCACACACCTTGTACGGGAATTATGCCAATATGATAATTTTGAAGCTGGTAAACTGAACCTCATAAACTAAATATTGCGTATTAATTACCTATGAAGTTCCGCAACATGAGCCCTGTTAAAAAATACACCAATCCACGGGCTGCCGCTTGAACATTTTCATCGCTTTTCATTAGTAAGAATATGCAGAGAGGCCAGGCCTCTGCTGGTGGATGTGTTATTCATTATTTATAAAGTATCTAATATTCAACTCACACTGGTATAATTTTTGCTTTGGCATATCCATCCTTCTCCCCCAGTTACCCAAAAGCAAAATACCTGAGAAAAAATTGATAATCATGAAGCAGGGAAGGTTTGGAGAGTCAGCGCTGTATCACTGTGGCCTGGTTAACCAATGCAATATAGGAAGCTGCTTTATACCCAGGGATGTACTGATGTTGCTAATTCCATTCCATCAGTTTTTCACAGTCATCCTGTGGTCATTGACTGTTGTTCTACTTGCACTAATTTGTACTAGCCTGTTACAACAAACCACCCATACCCTGCAAAAACTAAACTGGTCCATAAGTCTGCAAAATTCATAATCAGAAAAAGTGGTTGGCTCAAATAAATCCAAACTCATGTAAACCCACTGCAGATGTTGCCAGCCTCCCTACTTATTCTGTAACAGATTACAGACCACTTACCACATTCTGTCTGGCATTGGCTTTTTCACTGTCTTACTAGTGAAACAGCACAGCCCAACTACTTTTGATAAACCTCTTTTATACTACCGGATCATAAAGCATCGTAACACAAAGCATTAAGCTCTAGAAAAGTGCCAGTCAGTGTTCCAACAGAGTGTCAGTCAGGTTTCTACCTTCACTGCGCCATCCCCAGTAGGTACCAGTAGGTACCTCTCAGCATTCCACCTATTGGCTAGAACTGGTTGGATTTGATAGCACCAGGCTGGGAAAGGCTGATTTACGCCACTGTTACGTGCTGTTTGTGAAAGAACAGATTTTGCTCTTTCCAAGATTGTTGAATGAGAATGGCACAGTTAAAGCATCAAAGGTCATGAATAGTCTTAAGTAATATCAGATATGAAACGCTCAGTAAATGTTCTGGCTTCTTTTCACTTACAGTTTTGGTTTCATACTTCAGAGTAAATCACAATTTTATCTTTATGCTCCATTCTGCAACCACATCAGACCACAGGTTCTTATTCTTGCTTACTCTCCCGGAGCTCTGCAAAATTACCACTATCCATCCACTGCTAGCTACCAACATTTGCCTCCTTACCTGAATGAAAAATAATTTTGGTTTTCCAACGAGGCTTTGACACCGGTCTCCTCTGAAAAAGGCAGTCAACTCCTTGATTGCCATAAAGTTATCCGTACCATAGATCATACCCTCCTCTCCATGGCTTAATAATATGCAGGCAAAACAAGCGGCATTACTATGGTTTTCAAGTGCAGCTGAAAATCAAACATATCTTCTGTATGTAATGGAAATTCCACTTTGTTCTTTTCAAGGAACATTTAGGCTACAAATCATGTTCTTTATAGTTAAAGGCAGCCTGGAAAAAATACCTAACATTAATGCTAGATCTCAAGAGTGCCAAACCTCATGCCTGGGGGCTAAAAACAGCCAGCTAAGGTTCTTTAGATGGCTACTTCCCCTGTTCCCTCTATCAAGATTCTTCTGTAGTTTCCCAGATTTGTAGAGTTTCCTGATATTCAAAAATGCTGAAATGGATAAGAAGACACAAGACCTTTAAACTTAAATATCCTGATATATTTTGTGGGGGGGGGGGTTTGAGAGGGGGAGCAATCTTCCTTTGCCTTTGGCCCCACCCAAGAGCTTCTTCAAAATTAAATTTGATCCTTTGACTTGGCAGCCCTGCTATACATAATATTCAGTGAAGATTTTTACCTAGGGAATATTCTTAGGGTCACATTCTCAATTAGGTTCCCTAATGGATTAATTAAAGCAGCAGAGAGTTAGACATTCATTTTGGGAAGTTTATTTTAACTAATTTTCATTGTTACCTCGAAGAAGTGTCTCCTTCATATCATCACAACTTAGATCGTTGTAGACAGCCACATCAAATCCTATATTTTGGAAACATTTTTGTAGGTCACCGGCATCTTTATCAGTGCCATTTCGTATACCCATGCCTGTTAAGAAGCAAAGGTTACAGCTGACTGCACAGAAGCATGCTTATTTTTACAGGTTTTCAAGCTGCCAACTGGCCAATGAAAAGGAAAACAGTTTTAGAGCTTGGATTTCTGAATAGCATCCAGACAACAGTTCATCTTATATGCGCAACTGACACTTGCTTTTCATTTATTCAATAAGAAGATCCAGTTTCCTTGAGAAAACTATGTAAACTACCGGTCTCTGTTCAAGGGCAGTCAAGCAGCACCCGGGTTTGTGTACATGTGCCACTTCTGAACAAATATAGATTAAAAGTCTTTATGCCCTCACTTTCCATTGCAGAAGTTCAAGGTGGCTCACAGCAAGTACCATAAAATATAATAAAACCAAAACCCGCAGAATCCAACAGAACTGAGAAAAGAAAGGTGAGCACAGCACGATCAGTACTGCTAAAGCTTATTTTCAAAGCACAAAGACAGCAACATCGATTATGTGGTTAAGTCAGGCCTTTACAGGACTTTCCAAATAACCCCATAAGAAATGGGACAAGTGGGAGGGAGTTCTGAAGTCTGATACGGCCCTTCATTAAGACCTGAGAAGAGCACTGCTGTAGATGACATTTAGTGGATTCGGCATCCTATAGCAGATGTGAACAGTTCAGCTCACTGGCCAGAATGATCTGTCCTTTTCCTGAAACCTGCTGGGTAGGAAGGTAGAGACAGAGAGAAAAAGGTGGCAGGAAAAGAAAGGTGTGGCCCACCCACTTTTTCCCCTGGCTCTGCCTACCACTGTGTGGCACCCAGCAGTCTACTGGCAAGGGGGAAAAGTTTCCCATCCCTGGTCTATGCCTGACTTTGTACAGGAAGAAGCAATAGTTAGATGTTAGCACCCTGAGATATTGTCTGTTAAAGGTGTTGCTTATCCATGTAACTTCTTTTTAAACTGCCATCTAGGATTACAATCAAGCATTACAGAAAAACTGACAGAAAAGGGGAAAAAAAACCACATACCTGTTTTTCTTTCAAAGTTCTTGTTGTTTATAATAATGCATTTACCAACTTTCTCATACTCCATACTATACCGGAATGTCGGATTAATATTTCGGTATTGGCTACCGGAAGAGACTTCTGGCAGATGTTCCTGTCCATTTTTCTTTTTTCTGTAGAAATAGTAACTCAGTGTTTACATTTAGAATATGACTCTTTCAAAACTACCATTTTATGGTGATGCTGCAGTCAAAGGATTTGACTGCATGTGTAAGTTTTGATGGTGGCATGTTTTATTCACAACTAAAGGATCTTACTCATATTTATTCAGAAGGAAGCATCAGTGGGTACAACGGAACTTTACTCTGTATCAAGTGGGTAGAACCGAAATAAAAAACTTTCCCTTGAGGAAATTGTTTTCATCTGTGGAATTGGAAGGAGGCAATACTGCTTTCCCCACTGCAGTTCCCCATGAAACCTGAAAATCTGGTCCTTACAGCTGAGCCAAAAAAAAAAAAAAAAAAATCATGAGACTTTCCCTTGTTTCCTCCTTACTGGCATAAAGACTGGAGTTTAAGATGCATGACAAATGCACTCATAACACAAGGGATATGCATATACAATAGAGAAGTACACTTTAAGATAGAAGTTTTAATGCTAAAGTGGTAAGTCTTGCTGAGCTCAATGGGACTTACTTCTGAATGGACATGCATACGGCTAGACTATATGAAGATGCTACACTTTAAAAAAAGAACATTGCTGGGAAAACAACAACAAGCAGCTAATTGCCTTTATCCACAATATTCCTAACAACACCAACTGTGTAAATGTATGGTTAGCACATCTTGAACACACAGGTTGGTTCACAACTTGGGGTTCTGAAATTAAAAGCAACAAGAGGTTTCAAAGGTTCATGTGCCTAGAAAGTGATACTGACCATAGTCCTGCACTGCACCTATGATCCTCTGGGGATAGAGGAATACAGTAGCCTAACATGGCATGGCCATATAAATGGTGGGATGCTATTGTCACCAATTCACGTCATCAGATATCCAACCAGAGCCTAACTGTATATCTTCACTTAGCTCTAGATACACTGTACCTTTAATAACTTCCCTAGACTGCTTCTACAGGGATATGTGTTGTATAAGAGAAAAAAAGCCCCACTTATCTATTCCTGCAAAAACTCAGATCAAGAAAGGATCGTCAGTATATGATGGTAAGGAAAAAGAGATTTGGGTGCTATCTGCATATTGATAATCCCCAGTGCAACTTCTCTGGATGTTCCCAAAAGCACTGGAACTAGCACACCATTAGATGCATCTTTTTCCTTCATCCCCCTCCCCACCAGCCTTGGCTTGGACCCTGTATTTCACAAATACTATCAACAGGACCTGTATGGTCTCCTGGAGTCTCTTCTACATGCTTAACCATCACCAGAAACCTCATGGGAAGATGAGCAGCATATAAAATTTAAATAATTTTTAATTTAAAATTGAAAGGCAAGAAAACTTCCATGGCAACTTCTCTGCCATAACTGATAAAAGAACTGAATACAGCTTTCAGGAATACAATTTGAAAGAGACATTTCCATCCTGTTAAGACCCCTATCTATGTGTATGGCATGTTGACACAGGAAGAGGGCTATACTTCTGGTCTTGCTAACATGAATATCCAAACATCCTGCCCTTAACATCTGCATGTTGAGCATGGACAGCTAAAAATGAACTTCAGTGCATTAGCAGGTGCTCAGCAGTAAAGCAATCCATGCAATCAGATGCCAGTGCAACCAAACATGATTCCATGGAGTTCCTACATAGGAACAGAGATTTCTTTTCAGATGCCTGTGCTCGACATAAGGACACTGGAAGGCAGGGTCAGCCATGGGCATCAAGTCAGGGATGGGGCCTGCAGCACAGTCCTACTTCCACGTCAACACTTCTGTTTGAAGCTATATCATCAAGCCAATCCCTGCAATTCTGAACAGCCCAAAGTACTTCTGAGCTACTTTTTTGTTCTGAGGAAGCTATTAATGCAATGGTGGATAATCCCTGCCTTTGGATACATTTAAGCTCACAAACATATTGACAAGAAGTTACCAAGACAACCGTGAAAAACATTCTGCAATTGTCCAATGTTTGGCACAACATTAAGGAAGCAGCACACAGGAGGTTTTGGAATTTCCCATATTTATATGCCAAAGCAAAAGCTTATCAAACAACCAGGCTGAAGTATAATCAAAGAAGGCCACTGATGGATGTTCTTCTCTGATTTATGCTCCACAAAAGTACTGCAGGCAGAGAAGGTGATGCAGTACATTAACAGTGAAAAACAAAGCCTATTCCCAGACTTAATTTACTGCTTACAGAAATATAAAAAATAAGTTTAAGACAATATGTGAGTGCTATCCCTTTTGTGGAGTTTCATTTATTACAACTAACTGGCTTAAACCAATGCAACAACACATTCCTTTAGGTCTATCATTGCTTTTATTTTTTATGGCCCTTAAAAATTACTCTTCCTGGGAAAATTACTGTTTTCATTTCTTTTACTAATCCACTACTTTGAATGTCAGTTTGTCTAGATAAGAGGGGATATAACCATTCCTGCGAAGTGAACTAGTGATGATAACTGTTAGAGATATGCATCTGTTTCAGACAAAGTCTGAATAGTCATTTATGCCCTTCAGGAGGTATTCGAATTTTATCTGTAGTATCTTCAAAGCAGTCCAAAGCAAAGCAAAGTGTTCTGAGTCACTAGATGTGCTTTGAACGGACACTGCAAAGTCAGCCAGTCTCTTCTAACTCTTATACAACTGCCAAACTCTCCAAATAAGCAAAACTCTTAACCACAGGAAGGAATAACTTGACCAGGGATTTTCCCAGTACTCTTGTGATGTATGTAGATGGAACCGAACAGAACCGGTTTCATTCTTTGCAGCCAAATTTTGTGACTGCTTGTCTGTAGAAGCAGAGGCAACAGCAACATGCAGGATTTCCAATAATAGTTACTAACATAAAGTTCTCAACCAGGTACGTGGTGTTCTCGAAGTCTCAACAGCCAGAACTTGGCTCCACCAGCACTTAATCCCTTGCTGCTAGTACAGCAAGGAGAAGGCACCACCTTCTTGAGAAAGTAATTCCCAATAACAGGCAGCCATGGAGCATAGTTCAGGGAAGCATGGAAAGAGAAGAACAGGTTTTGCCAGTTTTGCAGCCTTTTGTCCCTTTAATAGTATCCCTGCTCTGAAACAAAGAGCAAGAAGGACATCCTTCCATGTCTGTAATGGAGAAGGTGGCGTCTCTGAAGGCTTTGCAATCAGGGCGGGTTTTAGATGCATAATTGCATGCCTGCTGTTAAAATAAAAGCACTGTAAGGAGCTATGGGCTTTGCAACTAAGAAGGTTCTTCCTCACCTCGCATGCACATGAACACCCCTTTCTCACACACATCTACACATTGGTAGAGCTCAAGCAACTTCTGAAGTAGGTACTGTTTTATAACTAAACCAACCAACCATATGCATAACACCTGCAAAGAACATAACACATTGTCCAAAAAGGGGAAATATAATCCCTAAAGCTTTAATTACTTTTTCTTTATATTATATAGTGCACAAACATTAAATGGTATACACCCTGACATATTTTTTTCAATAAAATGTCTTCTAGCCATTCCATTGAGGATGAAGCACTTTCGGGACTCTAGCGCCAATTTTGACCAGAAGAGACAAACATAATGGTATCAAACTGCTTTGTATTTACTTTAACTCCTGAGATTCTACACCAGTCTTGCCCACCTGTTCACCTTCATGGGCATTTGGACTACAGTTCTCAGAATTCCCATCCAGCAGGGCTATTGACTGGGAATTCTGGGTGTTGCAGTCCAAATGTGTCTGGAAGGCACAATGTTGGAGAAGGTTGCTTTACACTAATGTTTTTTTGTGAAAATTGTAAGGGACACTTGCATGATGTATATCATATTCATGACAATCACGAACAAAAACTTCAAAGGTATTTTAAAGGCTTCCACCTGTCTGAGAGTTGCTAGTATATATCTACACCAAAGTCCTGTTTTTACAGTTCAAGATATAAAGCTTTTTGTTTTTCCTAGTATAGCCAGTGTACATGTGCAGAGTCTTTCAAAATTTGGGGTTTTCTGATGCCTTTTTCTGATGCCTTTCTCTTTACCTTGCATTTAAGGTAAATTGCATTGCTGAAGCTGTTCCTGAACCAATGTCCTCCAGATGTTTTGGACCGCTACTCCCAGTATTCCCTAGCCAGCAGTCCAACATATCTGGAGGGCATCAGGTTGATGAAGGCTGCCTGAAGTTGTCTAGGGCCAAGTAATTTCCTGACCAAAGCACTGAAGCAAAATCCAAAGTCATTTTGCTCCTGCAAATCCAGAACAAGCTTTAGATTTCCAGAGTTTATCCACAGTAGTGAATTGGGGTCATCCTACTCTTGTCAGCCCATATAAGAGTTCTACTGTGCTCCACAAAGTTCTCCCTACATGGGCATATGAGCATGCATACCTGCAAATATGTTGCCACTAGAATGGTTTTGCTAGTTAGGGAATAAGAAAAGGTTGACAAAAAAATGAATTTTTCTGTTGATTTTCTGGGTTCCCCCCTTCCTCTCAAAAAATACTTCCACTTAGACCAGTAGCTGAATAGCATTAATAGATCATGGAGAACAATTTTGTTAAAATGCTCTAGAACTCTAATTTTCATTAATCAATTGTGTCACCACAATGCCATTTTGTTTGTTAACTGAGGCCTGAAGCTTTATATATTATAAAATTATCCATGGGAGAGGTACAAAGACCCTTGTTTAGGAAAAGGCAGTAATTAGTGCCAAATACCATGTAATTTTAGAAACAAAACACATGTCTATGCAAGGGGAAGCATTAAATACTGCTCCCCTTTTAGAGTTTTTAATATTTAAATCTGGAAGACTTTACAAACTATTAATTGCCTAGAAGAGTGAAAGAGTTTGATATGCTGCTTGTTTTTCTTCATACAAAAATGAAGTGTAAATAATACATGTGGATAATCTTACTTTTAATTAAACTATCACAGAACCATCTAATTATGTAAAATAATCTTCAGCTATATAAGTCCAATGGTTCCTACAATTTTCAGAGTGAGAAAGCTAAGTGACAAGAGGTAAAAA